AACTAAAGTAAGAACCACTCCTGTCCTGGTCCCCAGCTTCACGGTCCTCAAACTTAAAAAAGAGCTGCTCCTGCCCAAGTCTGAGGCTGCGCAGCACTCAAACTAAAGTAAGAACCACTCCTGCCCAAGTCCCCAGCTGTGCTGCCCTCAAACTAAAGTAAGAGTGCTCCTGCCAAGGTACCCAGCTGTGGTCATCAATGTAAGGTAAGAACTGCACCTGCACAGAACCCCACCTGCATGGACTAAAGATCCCTACTGCCCAGGTACACAGCTGCACGGCCCTCAAACTTAAGTAAGAACAGCTCCCACCCAGGTACCCGCTGCAAAGCGTTCAAACTAAATTAAGAGCTGCTCCTGCCTAGGTCAGCAATTGCGAGGTCCTCAACTAAAGAACTTCTCCTGCCAAGATGCTGAGCTGCACGCCCTCAAACCAAAGTAAGAACTGCTCCAGCACAGAACTCTAGCTGCGTGGCCTTCAAACGTAAGGAAGAACTGCTCCTGCCCAGGTCCACAGCCGTGTGGCCCCAAAGTAAAGTAAGAACTGCTCCTGCCCAACTTCGCAGCTGTGCCTCCATCAAACTACAAGAAGAACTGCTCCTGCCCAGATCCCCAGTTTCGTGGTTGTCAAGCACAAAAAGAACTGCTCCTGCCCAGGTCCACAGCTCTGTGACCCTCCAACAACATAAGAACCGCTCCTGCCCAGATACTCAGCTGCGTGGTCCTCAAACAACAAAAAGAACTGCTCCTGCCCAGATCCCCACCTGCGTGGACGTCAAACTACAAAAAGAACTATTCCTGCCCAGGTCCACAAATGTGTGGCCCTCAAAATAAGTAAGAACTGCTCCTGACCAGATGCCCAGCTGTGCGGCCTTCAAACTAAAGTAAGAACTGCTCCTGCCGAGGTCCACAGCTGCGCGGCCATAAAAGTAAAGAACTGCCGCTGCCCAAGTCTGCAGCTGTACGGTCCCAAAACTAAAGAACTGCTCCTGCCATCGTCCACAGCTGCACGGCCCTCAAACTAAAGAACTGCTCCTGCCCAGATCCCAAATTGCGTGGCCTCAAACAAAATTAAGAACTACTCCTGCCCAGGTCTGCAAATGTGCAGCCCTTAAACTAAGTAAGAACTGCTCCTGCCCAGATCCCCAGCTGCGAGGTCCTCAAAATGCAAAAAAACTGCTCCTGCTGAGGTCCACATCTGTGTGGCGCTCAAACAACAAAAAGAACTGCTCCTGCCCAGGTTCACAGCTGTGTGGTCCTCATATTACAAGAAGTGCTCCTGCCCAGGTCCACAGCTGTGCGGCCCTCAAACTAAAGAACTGCTCCTTCCCAGATACCNAGAAGTGCTCCTGCCCAGGTCCACAGCTGTGCGGCCCTCAAACTAAAGAACTGCTCCTTCCCAGATACCCAGCTGCACAGCCTTCAAAGTAAAGTAAGAACTGCTCCTGCCCAGGTCCACAGGTGTGCAGCCCTCAAACAACAAAAAGAACTGCTGCTGCCGAGGTCCACAGCTGCGCAGATCTAAAAGTAGAGAAAGAACTGCCGCTGCCCAACTCCACAGCTGTGCGACCCTCAAACTAAAGAACTGCTCCTGCCCAGATCCCCAGCCTTGCAGCCTCCAAACCAAAGAAGTGTTCCTGCCCAGGCCCACAGCTGTGCAGCCCTCAAACTAAAGTAAGAACTGCTCCTGCCCAGATCCCCAGCTGTGTGCCTTCAAACTAAGTAAGAACTTCTCCTACCCAGGTCCACAGCTGTGCAAGCCCTCAAACCACAGAAAGAACTGCTCCTGCCCAGGTCCACAGCTGTGTGGTCCTCAAACTACAAGAAGTGCTCCTGCCAAGGTCCACAGCTGTGTAGCCCCAAAGTAAAGTAAGAACTGCTCCTGCTCATGTCCACAGCTGTGCAGCCCTCAAACAACAAAAAGAACTGCTCCTGCCGAGGTCCACAGCTGTGCAGATCTAAAAGTAAAGTAAGAACTGCCGCTGCCCAAATCCGCAGCTGTTCGGCCCTCAAACTAAAGAACTGTTCCTGCCCTCATCCACAAATGCGGGGCCCTCAAACTAAAGAACTGCTCCTGCCCTCGTCCACAGCTGCACAGGCCTCAAACTAGAGAACTGCTTCTGCCCAGATCTGCAGCTGTGCCACCTTCCAACTAAAGCAAGCACTGCTCCTGCCCAGATCCCAAATTGCGTGGCCTCAAACAAAATTAAGAACTACTCCTGCCCAGGTCTGCAAATGTGCAGTAAGAACTGCTCCTGCACAGAACCGCAGCTGTGTGGTCATCAAACTACAAAAAGAACTGCTCCTGCCCAGGTCCACAGCTGTGCGGCTCCAAGGTAATGTAAGAACTGCTCCTGCCCAGATCCCAAATTGCGAGGCCTTAAACAAAATTAAGAACTACTCCTGCCCAGGTCTGCAAATG